GGGCGGCTCGACGGTTTCAACTCCGGTGCTCGCTTGGTCCGCCCTATTGTCGCAAATCGAGTTGTCGGTCCCAGCAAATTGTCGCCCATGTAGCATCGGCTTGTGCGGGTTCCAGCGTTCGTGCCCAGCGATTCTAGCAATTTTCATGACTGGTTGTAGCATCCACCACCACCGGTTCCATCCACCCGACGATCCTGTCAACCTCAATGGGCGGTTGATACGTCTCCGTCGTATCTATAAATTTTTATTGTTTCATGCCAATATTCTACAACATTCATATACTTTTGGGCTTTGGCAACATTTTATATTATTTTTAGGACTAACATAATAGTCTAGTGTCCAGTGTCAATTCCTGTTTGTTGCATGTTTCTTCTTTCGCAGAATATCCATATCAAACGAAGTCCAAACGCGATAAAAATTTACGGAGATTTATTTTGGAATATATGTGATTTTTTGGAGGTGGATCGACGCAAACGGAGGCCCACAGGCTCCACTAGGCACCAAGCCATGACCTCCACACCCCCCAGGAGCACGGTGATGCCTAGTGGGCACACCGTAAGTCGGTTGGGGCTCTTCTTCGGCCACAAGGAAGCTTATATCTGGAAAAAAAACGTGTAAAAATTTCAGCCCAATCAGAGTTACGGATTGCCGGGAATTCAAGAAACGGTTTTCGGCCAGAAAACAGGAACGCGAAACAGAAGAGAACACACAGAGAGATCCAATCTCGAAGGGGCTCCTGCCCCTCCGCCGCCATGGCGGCCATGGACCAGAGGGGGAACTCTCCTCTCATCTAGGGGGAGGCCAAGGAAGAAGAAGAAGGAGGGGGCTCTCTCCCCCTCTCTGCCGGTGGCGCCAGAACATCGCCCAGGCAATCATCGTGACGGCGATCTACACCAACAACTTCGTCGCCGTCATCACCAACTCTCTCCCCCTCTATACAGCGGCGTAACACATCTTCTTCCCGTTGTAATCTCTACTTAAACATGGTGCTTAATGTATATATTATTATCCAATGATGTATGGCTATTCTATGGTGTTTGAGTAGATTCATTTTGTCCTATGGGTTGATTGATGACCGCGATTGGTTTGAGTTGTATGTTTTATTTTGGTGATATCCTATAGTTCCCTCCATGTCGCGCAAGCGTGAGGGATCCCCGTTGTAGGGTGTTTCAATACGTTCATGATTCGCTTATAGTGGATGGCGAGAGTGACAGAAGCTTATACCTGAGTAAGGGGGTTGTAGCGTATGGGAGTAAAGAGGACTTGATACCTAATGCTATGGTTGGGTTTTACCTTAATGATATTTGGTTGTTGCGGATGCTTGCTAGAATTCCAATCATAAGTGCATATGATCCAAGTATGGAAAGTATGTTAAATCATGCCTCTCCCTCATATAAAATTGCAATAATAATTACCGGTATAGTTATCGATTGTCTATGGACAAAATACTTCTCTTGTGTTATAAAAATCTTTCTACTAAACAACTAACTATTATTATCTCGCAAAGTACTCCTTTTTTGTTCTTGCAAAGTAGTTCTAGCATCACACCTACAGAATAGTTTCATACTTGTTCTAGGTAAAGCAAACGCTAAGTGTGCGTAGAGTTGTATCGGTGGTCGATAGAACTTGAAGGGAATATAAATCCTACCTTTAGCTCCTCATTGCGTTCGACACTCTTATTTAGCGAAAAAGCTACAGTTGATCCCCTATACTTGTGGGTTATCAGCGGTCCGAGAAATCTCAACATGTCGGGCCCTATCCCAGCACCACCGCCTACGACATTACAGCTCGCGGTGTCGTCGGTCACCGCATTTGCGGTCGCCGGTCCCAGCATTCTTGCAATCCGCACTTCCCTGTCGCAGCATCATTGCATGCCTATCATAGTGAAAGAAATATGCCCTAGAGGCAATAATAAAGTTGTTATCTTATATTTCCTTAGTCAGGATAAAGGTTTATTATTAATGCTAGAATTGTATGATCGGAAACCTTAATACATGTGTGAATACATAAACAAACAACGTGTCCCTAGTGAGCCTCTATTAGACTAGCTCGTTGATCAAAGATGGTTAAGGTTTCGTAACCACGGACATGAGTTATCATTTGATAACGGGATCACATCATTAGGAGAATAATGTGATGGACAAGACCCATCTGTTAGCTTAGCATAATGATCGTTCAGTTTTATTGCTATTGCTTTCTTCATGTTAAATACATATTCCTTCGACTATAAGATTATGCAACTCCCGGATACCGGAGCAATGCCTTATGTGCTATCAAATGTCACAAACGTAACTCAGCGATTATAAAGATGCTCTACAGGTATCTCCAAAGGTGTTTGTTGAGTTGGCATAGATCGATATTAGGATTTGACACTCCGAGTATCGCAGAGGTATCTCTGGGCCCTCTTAGTAATACACATCATAAGCTTGCAAGCAAACGACTAAGGAGTTAGTCATGAGGTGATGTATTACGGAACGAGTAAAGAGACTTGCCGGTAATGAGATTGAACTAGGCATGAATATACCGATGATCGAATCTCGGGCAAGTAACATACCGATGGATAAAGGGAATTACGTATGTTGTCATAACGGTTCGACCGATAAAGATCTTCGTAGAATATGTAGGAGCCAATATGGGCATCCAGGTTCCGCTATTGGTTATTGACCGGAGAGGTGTCTCGGTCATGTCTACATAGTTCTCGAACCCGTAGGGTCCGCACGCTTAATGTTCGATGACGATATAGTATTATATGAGTTATTTGATTTGG